GCTTTATAAACACTGTTGTTAAAACAATGTAATGATGTGCACTGCCTTGCTGTCTTCTATGATAGCAACTTTAAAGGTTCCTTTTCATACTTACTCTAGCTTTGTTCTGCTTTGATATGTATTTATTTATTTATTTATTTAATTTTTTTTAAAAAAAGATTTTATTGTGGAATGGGGAAAGGGGAACAGCGTTGGGGAATCAGGAAGGGGAACAGACGAGTTGCTGTCCTTTGGTTCTTCAGTCTAGTTGTGGAGGACGCCGTTTCACTGGACCATGTTCGTATTGTGATCATTGCGCTCTTCCCGGGTGAGGTAGTCACTCACTGGCCCTTGGACTGCCGCTCACGCCAGCTGCCGGCCACTCACAGTAGTTTTACAGCAGCCCACTGCCACCCCACTGCGGCCTACGCCATCCCCAGGGGCTCGTGGCAGCCCAGCTCCAGGTGGAGTTGTTGTTCACCATCTTAGCTGTAGAGGGCGCAGCGTCATCACTGGCCCTTCATGTGGGATCGAAACTGGGGCCCTGGTGCTCAGAGCTGGTGTCCCAAGCCAAGTCAACCAGCGTGCCACTCGGCCGGCCCTCACTCCAACTATTTTTACTGACAAATCAAATTGCTATTTGAGGCATTATCTTACAGATTTCAAATTCACAAAATCTATAAAAGAAAAATGGGCTCATAATCTTCATTGCTGTGGAATTCATTCTAAGCATCTGAGAACTTTAATAATCAATCCATATATGGCTATGTAGACATATATTGGAAGATGGTTGCTTGTGTTTTATATAGGATTTTAATATAATTTATTTTGGCTTTAGAAAGTGACTATATTTTTATTCTGAGACTTCATAATCTCTCTGTTCTGATTTGTAAATGTTTATCTGTTAATCTTTTTATTTATAAGGCATCATTCTTCTGAGATGATAGTAACTTATTTTAAAGATTACTTTGTTTTTTCCCCTTTTTACAGAAAACAAGCCTCATTATGGGTCCAAGGAGACATTTTCCGATCCAAACTGAAAAATAGACCGTCCAGTGATGGAAGTATTAATAAAATTCTTTCTAGCTTGGATGATATGTCTATTGGTGGAAACTTATCGAAAATACAAAACGTGGAGAGATTTGGAGAGGTGAGTTTTCCCAGGAAGTGTTCATGTCTCCTTAAGACTCATGTTCTCCATTTCTGTGTTTCCCGGTTGGACGCATATAACTTAATAGTCACATCTCTTTTCTGAGATGCTGAGAATACTAAAACTTCAGGTGTGGAGTCATTCACTTATAAAGCAAGAATCAGAGCAAAGAAAGCAGTTATCCTTAAAAAGAAGAAAGCTGTAATTTAAAGAGCACAGTTATAAAGGAGACTACTCTGGTTTGGAGAATATTTACAGAAAGGAAATCAAGAAGCAAACTTTTTACTTGAAAACGAACTAGATATCAAGAAGAAAAATTTTAATATGACAATTGAAGAAATAGTACATATTAACAAGTGGTACACTGAAAGCCTCAAATTCATAGTGATTTCTAAAGTAAGTCCAGAGTTGAACAACATAACTCAATAACAACTTTTGTTATTGTAAGCAAACCACTGTGAAACAGTTGACATACATTGTCTGATTTGATCTTTATAACTACCTGGTAGTTCAAGCAATATTGTCTCTGTTTTATAGTAAAGAAATTGAATAGCAGCAAAGTTCTAACCTAGGGTTAGAAACATGATTCAATCTATTGTCTATCTGATTCCAAATCCATGTTTTTTCTATTACATCCTGCTACCTCTGAATAAAAACAGAAGTGATGTACTAAGAATTAGCTCAGGAGCATTTTTAGAGAGAGAAGCAACCTTGAAATCATTTGTTCTAGTTGCCCTCATGTGCGAATCAGAAACCGGGGTCCCACAAAATTTGTGATTTGCCGAAGCACAGAGTTTAGTAGTGGGACCACCTTGAGAACTGGGAATCTAATGCCTAGTTTAGCTCTTTCTACCAGAGTATGCCTGAGGTGAAGCTAAGCACCTGGTTTATATTTATATTTTTATGCCTCTAAAGGAACCACAAAAAAGAAAACAGCTGTTAAAATATTTAAGCAGCAAGGGTAGATTTATATTCTACTAAGCAGTGGCCCATTAGACCTGGACAAGGGCCTTGAAGAAACGACTGTGGCTCAGGCTTAGCGCTTATGGAACCTGAAATGGAAGGAATGAATCATAGCTCTCTTGGGTCAATAACTGGCATTTAAAACAGGTTTCTTTCACCAAGAAAGATAACTAGAGTGCTTAAAGATAGGGAGAAGGAATTTTCTTCAAGGACAAAGGATGGGAACTGCTGAAAGAGCCAGTTTTTCAACCCTGTGGTGTGTTCTCCAGGACAGCCACTGGAGAAGTGGCTGAGTTTACTTGTTTGAGTCATCTGTCCTGACAAAATGTAAATCTTAGCCAAGGTCATGTTGATGTTCAGGGCCTTTGTTGACTTTTCCTTGTCTCTGTGTTATAGTCTGGCCTACTCAAAGCAAACAAAAAGGATTTGAACTGGCATTTTAATGTGCTAATAGAGCTATGTAAGAACCTTTTTCCTGCCTTGGTCAGCATTTCCTTCCCAGATAGAGTTCAAGTAAATAGGACTTTAAGTTATGACCTCTGAAAAGACACACATAAAATTTACCCAGCTATCTGAGAAACATATGTATCTTGTCGGAACATAATGCTTTCTATATCATAATCTGTATTAAATCAACATCTGGTAGTTAGAACATTTCATTCTCATACCTTTTTAGATCCCAATTTGATTGAAATTTAAAATAAGTCAGTTTGAAATATGAGCATTTATTCAAATGTTNAAATTAGTCATTGCTAATGCCTCAGTCAGCACCTTCCTGAAGGCAGGTTCGTTGTCTGAGGCACGATACCTTCTGTGTTTCACGGTATTTCTCCTAGGGCTCACCTGGCAAATGTCCGCATTACTCACCGGCTCTCCCACACTTTTCCATCGCCTCCTTCCAGGCGGCGGTCTGAGGCCCAGTCTGCCCAGTGTGTCTCTGAGCGACAGCAGAGTATCACTTCACTTGACTGTACATTGGTTTTGTTCTCTCCGACTCCTCTTTTTCCTCCTTTCCAAGCCTGTGTCTTGACATACATATGGCAGACAACACTGGTGCCGTTCGTCCATCCGGTAGCTCTCTGGTAGGTGCGTCCTGTCAGGCAAGGCCCTTGGTCCTGGGCTGCAGCAGTGACCATGACAGAGGAAGAAGGTCCTTGACTCCCAGGGCGCTTATGGAAGGAGCACACCATGAACAAGTGTGTAAGTTTATATACGCGATGATTTCTGAGGGTGATAGGACCCTAGAGACCAGCAGCAGGGGAGAGAGGTGACCGCTGGGGGTGGGGAGGGCCCTTTAGAGTAAGTGTAGTCAAGGAAGGCTGCTTAAAACAGCCGGGACCTGCGGGTGGAAAGGAGCCAGTGCTGTCAGTGTGAATTGTGCCACTGGGGGAAAGCGTACCGTTTTTGAAGCCCGGCAAGAAGGCTCGTGTCGGTGAAATACAATGAGCTGGCGGTGGGTGATTTGAGAGGTAGGCTCCATAAATGTTCACGAAGCAAATGTACCCATGTAACCACCCTCCAGATTAGCGGCTGGAACCGTCAGCCTCCAGAACCGCCCCACCCCCACCCCCGTGCCCCTTCCTTCACCACCCGGTTCTTCTGCCCAAGTAACCATTACTCTTACTTCTAACACCACAGATGAATTTTGCCTGATTTTGAACCTTCTATAAATGGGACCAGACAGTATGTGTGTCTGGTTTCTTTCATTCAACACTATCTTTATTGTCCTGCGTAGCAATAGTGTGTTATAGAGACTATATTATATATATTACATATTATTATAGAGAATACTGTTAACAGGCAAATGTATACATTGTATAGTTTCTCTGATGATAATAGGTGCTGTGCAGAAAAATAAGGTAGGGAAGAATAGGGGGTGCTAGAGAAAGCAGCTTTAAATAGGGTGGTAGTTGTGGAGCTCATGGAAAAGACGTTTGAGCAAAGATTTGAGGAACTAAGAGAATAAGTCCCATGGGTGTTTTGGAGAAGAGGCTTCACCCTGAGGGAACAGAGGCCCTGGCCGTGAATGGGAACATGCCCCAGGCCACTGTGGCTCAGAGGACAGTGAGATGAGCCAGGAGGGAAAGGGGCAGGTCCCTCCCACGCCTTGCAGGAGTGTGGCTTTTCTTTGGGTGAGATGAAAAGTCAGCAGAGGGTATTGAGCAGAGGAGTGATGTGATCTGACTGTAACACACACACACACACACACACACACACAAACACACACACTCACTCACACACTCACTCACTCGCACACACTGTTTTTTAAATTAAACATTTTGAGATCATTGTAGATTGACATGCAGTTGTAATAACTAATAGGGAAGGCTCCTGTGTGCTCTTTACCCACTTTCCCCCGAGGCTGGCATCTTGCGACACTATGCAAACAATATCAAAATCAGGGTATTGGCATCGGTACAGTTGAGATCGGGAATGCTTTCATCACCACAGGAAACCTTCACATTGCTTTTGTATGATCACACTCCCTTCCTGCCCATACCGTCTTTAACTCCTGACCATTGCTGACATGCTCTCCCTTTATATATATTTTGTCATTTCCAGAGTGTTATGTATATGGAGTCATAGAGCATATAGCTTTTGGGCTATTTCCTATCTTTCGGTATGCCTGTCTGTTGGATATATACCTGTGATTGGAACATTCAGCTGTCGCAGGTGCTACCAAAGAGTTTTCCAAAGTAGGTATGCCAGTTTACATTGCCATCAGCAGTGTGTGGAAGTTCCCGTTTTCCTCAGGTACTGACAAACACGTGGTATTGTCAGTCTTTTAAAGGCAAGCCATAATGTTTTGTTTGGAGTGGAAATTTGATTCAAAACTGATGTTGGAGTTCTGACTCCAGAATTGTATAAAAGTAATTATGCATTCTTCTAAGCCACTAACTTTGTGGTAATTGGTTACAGCAGCTTTGTGTAGATAGGAAACTAATACACCTGTATAGATATTGCCCATTTGTGTAGAGAATTGGTAAATATGTACAGTAAGATCCACAGATCCTAATGTAGACATGGGTATTCTGAACTTATTCATCGTATTTCTACTTTGGAGTATTTGAAGTAGGCGAGTCCTGTGATCCACATGTATTTAAGGAAGATTGGGCTGCAGCAATGTGACAGTGAATCGGATGGTGGAAGATTGGAGCCAGAAAGGCTAAAAAAGAGACCACTATACTGTCTTCCAAAAGCGGGTGGGGATTTGTCCACGGGGCTAGAATTTGGACAAAGAATTAGAGATGGGTACCAGGGACATTGCAGGAAATAAATTTCAGGCTTCAAAGACAGACTAGTGATATGAGAGATGAAGAGAGTGACGTGAATGATGACGCAAAGGCATGAATAAGTAACATGTTCATCAGAAAAGAAATAAGAGGATTAAAACGTTTTCTCATAGGTTTTCATCGTCAAAAAAGAGTGAACAACTTAGAGGGGCTGTGTTCTTTCAATGTGAGCAATGCAATCAGTGCTTTTTAGGTAATGTTAATTCTAAATCTGTGACTTTAGGAAAGCTGGTTTGTCACCNATCTAGAGGGAAAGTGTGGGTAGTTGGGCCTCCTCAAAACGCCAGGTGTTGGAGGCTTTTACAAGCCAAACCCAGGAGTTTAGGCTGTGTGGGCACCGAGGAAAGATGAAATGTATTAAACGGTAAAGTAACATGATTAAATATTTTAGATTTCGCTGGAGGCTATTCAGAATTTGAATTTGAAGGAATAAGATTAAAAGATGCTACTAGTAGTCGTCAAGGATATAAGAAATATTGTTAGGTTAGTTGCAGGGTGGAAGGGAGAGGCTAGATGAGAAACCTAAAGCAGTAGAATCTCAGGACACATGAGGAATGAGTGGCGGCAGCAGGGAAGAGAACGATGGCCGGATCGATGTTCACAGTAGGACTCTGGATCCTGGATGTGAATCTCAGCTTTTCCACATACTCACTGAGTAACTTTGGATGAGGAGCTTTTCCACTGTGCCCCCCGTTTCCTCACTTGCAAAGCGGGGACTGAGATCTCAGCCACCTCACTGGAACCACATCTGTCAGGTTCTTAAAAGAGCGCCTGGCACAGAGCAGCGCTGTGTCGATGCTGGCTGCTGCTGCAGGCACTGTTATTAGGACCTGCTGGCCTCTCTTTAGTGGTTATTAGTTTATCTTGTCCTAGCCAATGGCCGAATGTCAAGTTAACACAGGCTTTCGTCCTACTCCTTGCCCGTTTTTCTCCACAAAGATTGAGTTCTTCCCCACAAGGATCTGCATCTACTTTGAAGACCTCAAAAGTGGCTTTGTCCCCTTCAGCGACGGCCAAGAGGATAAACAGAGGCTCTCTGTCCTCGGGCGCCAGCGTAAGAAGGTAATTTTCTTCTCTCTCTTCCGAGGCACTGGCGGGAGATAAAGGAAGCCAGCAGCAGACAGTGAGTTTGGCTGAAGTTTGTCAGAGGAGGGGGCCAGCGGGGAGGGGAGAAACCACACAGGCTCTGTTTCCTCTGGGGCTTCTGTTCCTCTCTAATTGCGGGGGACAAGGCCACGGCGGGAGCGCTGTAATAGCATCGCTTTCTAAAGGTTGCCTAACAGGGTCCGAAAATGGAGTTCAGCCGCACATACTGGAGTTCCATGTTATTGTCATTTCTTCCCTAGTGTGTATGGGCAGAACCAAGATGGGCAGGGACATTTCATGTAGTCATGTGATCGAACATGGACAAGTTAAATCTTGTGCTTATGTCTGCTTTTGAGTCTCTGCTTATATAGCCCTTTTCATTTACTTTCTGCCTCAGGACTAGTAGAACCCCCAGAGGCTCTATTTCAGGATCTCTGGTCATAGTGTTTTTACAAAGCTCCTTGGGTCTTAATGTACTGTCTTATCACAGAGGAAGTTAGTGTGTCTTACTAAAGGCCACATGTTATAATGTCACCAAGAGTGATAAAGAAGCCATTCTGTCACCATTTGCGTTGATCAGAACTGTCTTCATCGCATTCCCCTGATGTCCTAATTATGTTTTAGAGACACGAACTCTGTGTGAGTATCCATCATTGTCTGTTTTTCCCCCCCCCCTCACCTGTGTTTTCCATTCAGCTTTTCCATAAACTCCCGGCTAGCCAGTTCTCTAGGGAACTTGAACGCTGCCACAGATGACCCAGAGAACAAAAAGACCTCATCCTCCAAGGCGAGTTTCGTAGCCAACCCGTTCACCAACCTCTTGAATGGCAGCTCCCAGCCGCCTGCCAGAAATTACCCCGAGCTCAACAACAACCAGTACAGCCGAAGCTACAGCAGCAGCGGGAGCACCCTGAGCGGCCAGCCCGGCCCCCAGGGCGCCAAGACAGAGGAGCACGTCACCGTCCTCCGGCCCTCCTACACCAGCCTCTCCTCCTCCTCAGCCAGATTCCTGAGCCGGTCCATCCCCGTAAGTTCGCAGACACCACCTCTTGACCCTGAGAACCCTGAACGCAACTTTTGTGCCTCGCCTGCCCTGCCGAGGCTGCCACCAAAGAAATTTAATAGCGCCAAGGAGGCCTTCTGATCCATGCCTTCCCTCTGAGCTGTGAACCTCTGTGCACGTCCGTCCTGCTGGCTCCTCTTCCAGTAAACACCAAGTTTCCACCGGGTTTTCTTCCTTCCTTCTTTTTCTTCTCCTCCCCCTACTCCTTTTGAAGTGATTTCTCTTAGAAGGGAAATAGCTTTCATTCACTTCATCAGGGACACTGTTGACTTAAGTTACTTCTCAGTTCAGTGTTCAAGTCACTGTGTATATCTGGTGCAAAGCCAGGCGCAGATTCACGGCAGACAGTGTTTTAGGAAACTTGGCTTCTTCCAGATCGTATATTAGTGGATGAATTTGGGAATATTTGAATGTGGAAGGTGCTGATTGAACAGTATGTTCTTAGAACTAACCACTGGTCCCTTGACTGTGTCACCTGCAAGGAATTGACCCACAATTAGTTCAGTGGCAAATGGAAGGTGTTTATAAGGAAGGCTTACCTGGGATGTCAGGGAAGGGGGGCAGCGTATTAGGAAGATGGTTCAATTAGCCATCCTCCCCGAGAGACAGGATGAAAGTTCTCCAAGCATGTTTTCCCCATGAGTCCTTTAGGTTCTCAAGCCCACTGTTTAATTACTAATGGTCCCTATTAGGGTAAAATCTGTCCTCCGTTCACCCCCTGCTCTGAATCACTTTAATCACATATTTTTTTTATTGCATCAAAGGCAATTGAGATCTGTCGGAGTGTGAGTTTTGATTTGAGAGAACAAGGACAAAAAAGGAGAGAGAAGTAGCTCACACAGGTGAAGAAAATGTGAATCAATATTACAGTGCAACATTGATTCCACTCAGGGCTCAAGCAAGCTCTGGGTGTCCTGGGAAGGCTGCGGGCACCCCTTCGTGCCACCATTCTTCCAGCGTTTCATCAACCATCATCCAGGGAGAGGCTGATTTCTTCAGGGGGGAATTGGGGAGAAGTGCTGGTGGCAGTGTCTCTCATGGCCCACTTGGCAAAGCAATAGCCCCACAGGTAACAGTTAATGGCACCCACTTTACTTAGATGGCAGATTAGAAACCATTTTTCTAACATGAGGATGCAGTGTGCATGTGGGTTTATGTGTGTGCATGAGGACAGTGTATGTGTGCGTGTGTGTGTATTTTTGTTGGACTCATTACCACTCCCATTTCTACCTCAGGCTTCTTTTCAAAGTCCCCCCCCCCCCATACAGTCCTTTCTGGCACATATAATTTTCCCTATCTGATTTTATTACCAGTGATTTTTTTAAACATCATTTTGGATGCCTGTATAGAGTCGAGTCCCAGGCAACTGCCAGCCCACCCTACCCCTTAATTGGACTGGAATCCCACTGCGTTATGGGTGTATGTGTGTCAGTAAAACTTAGATTCTAGCGACTAAAGTTAGATGGAAAATGATAGTGTATTTACATTTTCATAACTAGGTTCACGGGTCATATGCTTGATTGAGTTCAGTCAATATTTTCATGTATGGATTGTGGGTCAGCCTCTTTTTGAGACAGATCTCTCTACTTTCAGAGAAAGTATTAGACAGAGATATATACATAAGTAACTATCTTGCTGATTTCACAGCTAAAGGTTTTGTCTAATCCACATGTATAGTTGAATACCAGAAGCCTTGGTAGCTTGAGAGGAATAACATTCTCCTTTTTCTAGCTCTCAGTTTTCCTCTTTGCTAGTGGAAGCGTGGGGGAATTCTTTAGATGGTTGTTGATTCCCTCCTTACTCCGTGCTTATATAACTTGATTTTGGTTTCAGTCCATATTTTCTTATTTTTCTTCACCTCTCCTCCTCCTCCTCCTTTTCCTCTTTCTGCCTCTTCTGGCCTAAATAGACTAATTTTCCTATAATTAAATTTAAAGTAATAGTTTGTGTGGGCAGCTGCTGCTATTCTCCTCTTCTCCTCCTTAAATTTGTCATTTTATTGTAAAGAGAAAGCATTTATAAATAGAATTGCCAGCATGATAACATTTTTCTTTCTCCTACCCTCCCAGAAGCCAGTAGCAGGTCTCTTGTCGCTGACTTTCCCTCCTTTATCTTTGCCTAAAGAAACCCAAAAAAACCCTGTTGTTTTTTTTGGAGAGAGAAGGCTCCAACTCCTACCCCTGCTGGCTTGCTGGCAGAAAGTCTAAATTAAGATGGAAATTCCCTTTCTATGTGGCATAAAATGGAGGTTGTGAGTTTTATTCCTCTTGGTCCAATGCAGCTTTTCTAATTGTGGGTTTCTTGTCTAAATAAGATGGTCCTTCTTTTCAGTATTCTGAGAACGTGAGACATATGACCCTTGAAGAACTAGGGATAAATCACTCAGCAAGAATGCTTTTAAATCCTTAGGTAGGAAAGGAAGTCTGTATAGCAATATCCTCCCAGTACCTTTAAGAAAGACGCAGCAGTCCTAGGGGATGGGGGATGCCGGGTGTTCAGAGGGAGTCTAATATGTTAAAAGCTGCAATTAGCATGTCTTCCAAACGCTTCACTTGCTCTCTCACTCTGTGCAGCAGTTCAGCCCCCAGAAAAATGTAAAAGTGATTTCCTTATTCTGTCATTAAATGCTTTAACACAGAAAACAGGAACAAATGTTAAGGAATCCTTATGGCTGTGACAAATTGCTAAGAAACAGTCAGATCCTAGTTTTTTATTTATTTGGCCTCTTCTGCTAGTCTTGAGGTTCGTACTGCCCAGGACAATGTGCAAGGTTTCATTTTTGTTGACCCACTTACTGTAAAAAAGTCAGTGTTCCTTCTCTGACATTCAGAGGAGTTTTCAAATGCTTAGAAATGAGGGACGTGTGATTATGGCGTGGGTGATGGGGTGGAAGTATTTTATTAAATTGAAATTACTGGAGGTATCTGTCTTGAATATTTGATCTATTTTATTTTTAAGAGACCTGCCACTGAATTGCATTCATCTCCAGCGTCCTTGCCTGACTCCATAAGCCGAGGTTAGGCTGTGGTGCCTCCCCATAACTCCTCTTCCACCCCGCCTTGGTCTTAATCACAGCCTCCCCTCTCTCTGCATGTTAATCATCTGCTCACTTGTCTGTAGCCTCCACTAGGCTGTCAGCTTTGTGAGGGCAGGGCGGCGCCTCTGGTTTTTACAGTTGCTCAGTGCGCAGCACACAGTAGGCACTTACGAAGTATTCTATTTCTTGAATGGATATATGGATGTTGGATGTTACATGAGTGAATGTGGTAAGGATTATCGCTTCCATTTTATT